CTTGTTGGTCTGTTAACAATGGTTTTACGGCCACAATATGAGAGAAATTTTAAGTTTGTGAAGGATTTGCAAATTGTTTTTGATGAAACTTCAATACTAATGATTTATTTAGGATTTAATTTGCAGTATTGTGATTATATGTCTTTTAAAACTTTTGGATCAACCACTTCTTGGTGTAGTTTTCCGACTTTTGCTATTTTCGTAACTGTTAGTGGTGTAGTTCTTGTAACTTTGATATTTTAGTAGAATTATTAGTCATTTTTTAAAAAAATTTATCTTCAATCTTAATTTTTAACAGTTTATTTATTTTTTAATTTACATTCTATACGGATCTTTGAGAGAGATTATCGTGATATTCGTGTTTTATACATATGCTATATATAGAAACATAAAATAAAAACTGATATAAAAAATTTCATAAAAAATGCGTTCCTTACACAAAGATGATAAAATCTTAATAGATCGATAATATTTAAGTCGATCGGTTAATATTTAACACCAATAATCATTATTAACATTATCAACGTAAAGATTGTCATTAACGTTATCAACATAAATATTGTCTGTCATCGACGCCATTAATAACATTTTCATTGTCATCTTTTCGCCAATACATGTATAAACTCAATAAGTCGGACGCAGCAATCAATTGTTTAAAATACTCGATAATGTAAATAAATGACCGACTTATCGAGTTTGCAACGCATTATTAGCGATGTTGGAAAAACTACTCCGGTCTAGACAATTACAAGGTAGTTTCGCCGTAGAAATTCATCGCGAAACTCCGCAGCAAAGATCATCCGAAAAATTTTAATTTAGTGTAGCGGGTGGCGTATAAAATTCGACTGCGCTTCATATACTTCATATACAGATTTGTCCAAAATTTGCACAGATAATTTCCAAGTTTGATTAGTATCAGCACGCGCCGTTGAATTTTATGGCCGAATTTATCAGAATCACCGTGTAACTCGGAATTATTAATTCTTTTATTACGCCTTTATTTAATCTTCTAAAGAGAATTGTACTTCAAAGATAATCTAAGGCGATGATGCAAGCTACGAGGAATTTTTATTTAAAGATAGAAATGTCAGAATCTTCTACAATGTTTCCATCATTCATCAAAGTACCTCATGATCAGTTATCTTTACAATTTGAATTCTCTAGAGAACTATTTTTCGAACTAATATTTATATTGTAACAAAAACAATCACACAATAAAAATAAAAACCGTTATAGCAAAACTATCCTTAATAAAACTATCTTTATTTAATTGATTGATTATTGAATTGAACTGTTAATTTAAAGGTTACGTTATAATTAATCAACCACGATCCGATACCATTTAAAATTGAGTTGTAAAGTTTAATAAACTTGTTTTTGCGTTATTTGTTAAGGAGTCTTCCTTAACTAAATTATTTTATTATGATATCAAAGAAATAAATGGATAACTTTAATAAGCATTTTCATACAAAAATTTTGTCACACGAAATTTAATTAGTCTCAATTTTTCAAAAGGCCCAACCAAATTTCTAATCTAACTGATAAGTTTTG